CCAGAGCTCTGCATTCACATGCCAGCGCACCTCAGTGAGAGCCCGTCTCGTTAACGATCTCAGTAAAAAGTGGAAGCAGATCTCCCATTGCTCTAGTAGACATAGTGGAGGCAAAACTGCGTCGGTGCAGGAGAGATTTTCTGAACTCCATGGCAACTTGGAAGTAGGATGTGTGTGAAGAGGGGTGGATGAATGAGTGACATGGGAAGCCTGTGCTGTTGCCAACGGCCCTGGCTGCTGGGGTCTGCGATAACTAAGATTCTGCTATGTTCTAGCACCCGGTTACTAATTCCTCAGTTCTACGCATCCTGTTAGTTACAGTGGGCCATGTCTTATAAGTGACCCTCCATACAGTGTGGCCGGACACTAGCATCTGGTGGCAGACTTTCTGTTGCCCAAAACTGAGAAAAAAATGTTGAAAATCTGTAGCAGTTGACAAGGGACTTTGCAAATGTTGACTCTAATTCTTAAAGCTAAGAGCTGGCATTATTTTTCCTTTCATTTTCTAGCAACTCCTTTAACACATTTTAAATTATATTTTTGAAAAAGTGTAGGATTAAGCCAGGAGTGGTGGCTTAATTCCAGAACTTTAGAGACAGAGGCAAAGGGAGGCAAATCTTTGAGTTCTAGACTAGCCTGATCTACAAAGCAAATTCCAGGACAGCAAGGACTACATAGAGAAACCCTGTGTCAAAAAAAATAACAAAGCAAACAAAAGAAACAAAACAAAAAACATTTTTAAAAGTATTGGTTTAGATAGGAAACTAAATTTACTCAGATAGTAAGTCTTTCTGAGAAATGCTGATGCAGTCAAGAACTGGGCTTCAGGCTGTATAGATTTTCTGTCTGACCTTTGGCAAATGACATAATCTCTCAATTTCACTTCATAAATTAAGATTTTTCCAACAAGGTTGGCATCCCAATGTAATGTCAAGGCAGGATGCAAGAAATGTCAGTTTCTTAAATAGCAAGATTTAGGAATTCAGTCTTGTTATTGCCTACCTGTTCCATCTGTCCCCCTCAGAGGCATGTAAACAGGGCTCAAAAATAAGGGCACAGCGGCTGCCCCAGCCTATAGCAGAGTTCAGCTCCAGGACTCTGTGGTAGAGGGTGGCACTCTTGTTGCTCAGTCCTTCCAGTGCCCCATGTCCTGTCCTCTGTGTCTTGGGACTTAGCCTCGGGCTGTGCTGTTTCTGGGCCAGTCACAACTGTGTCTTTCCTTCCAATCTTTGCCCTACCCCTGACCTGATGTGGCTCTCAGATCCATCACCTCATTGAGCCTGGGTATGGAAAAACCAAAGCCAAAAAGGGAAATAGAGATGACATATGATAGGGGTTCAAACTGATGAGCCTGTTGAAAATGTCCTAAATACATATGTAAGCTACTTAACCTCCCAAGACTCAGAGCTCAGCAACTCGGTGCACTGTCTCTGATGTTTGCTCTTGGGATGGGACCGTTGACTAGGATCCGAAGCTCGCTGCTACTGCCGGGCATCAAGATAGAATGATGCTGTATATCCCCAATCTGAACAGAGAACAAAACTCAGAATTCTAAGTGTGGCTGGCAAGATGGCTCAGCAAGTAAAGGCCCTTATCACCAAGTCTGACAACATGGATTCAATCCTTGGGACCTGCGTGTTGGCCAGAGAAGACCAACTCATGTGATTTGTCCTCTGACTTCCATATGTTGCTGGTCCAGACACACACCACACACCACCACACATATAAAATAAATAGGTTTGTAACTCTAAAAATCTATATATAGTTTCTGCTGAATGCTAGTTGATTTTGTACCGTCAAATTGATGTCTTTATTTCTAAGTTTCTTCTGGTTCAACCCCATTCCAAATTTCCTTGAGTCAAGAAGGTAAAAAAAATAATGGCCTGTGGGTTAGGGGTAGGGTGGAGAAAATGGCCTGAAGAAACTTTGGAGTAGAGATGACGGGAGAAACATCAGAAAAGGGCAAATTACTACTGATATAGTCACCATCAGTGTGGTGCTGAAGGAGCTCTTTTCAGTTGGGTTGTTTGATGATAGAATGAATTATCATATCGCATTGTACATAGTACCCAGCACACAGTAGGTCCACAGCACTGTTGAGCTCTTACCCTCCTCGAGTTCCTTGCCAGGTCTTGGGTCAGGAATCCCCAATTCCTGCTGAACATGTCAGTTTGTTGGCTTCTGTCACACTAGCTGTTTGTGTCTGGATGATTCCAGCCAGCTGTGGGTTTTTTTCTTTCTCTTATGGAATGGGCTCTAAGCCAAGGGTATGTCAGTTGGTGTCCATGGGACCCAGGCTTCACTTCCATGGACAAGCTTCAGAGGGTCTGTTAGTTTGAAAGTTTTATGTCTTATTTTTCTCTTTTTATTGCTTACTTTTACTATCTTAACACACACACATATATGTATACACACACATATACGTACACACACATACACACATACAGAATCTCCTAACAAAGTTGTCACCAGATAAACTCATATTTTGCAGCATTGGGTTTGAATTTGGTATGGGATTTGGTCTTGGGTTGCTGGATTTGTAACCAGATCCTAGGTGTTCCTTCTGGTAAGATGGCTTCACTTTAGACTAGTGAGACCAGGAGGGTGTCTGACTTTCTGTGTTTACCTTCCTTGGCCTATTAGCTTCACTGAGCCTCCCATTTTCCTTTTGCAAGTAATCTGCTCCGCAGAATCAGCCACCCCATGTGTATCCTTATCACTATAGCTGTTTCCATGCCCAAGCAGCCGGGTCTCCATCTCGACCTCTGTATGCCCACCTCCATTAACGGTGGATGAGCGATTGCACAGCGGGGTGATTCCCATCCCCTTTAGACATGGAGCCCTCATTCTTACAGATGAGTAGCCATTCTGACTTCAAAGTCCTATTTTGAAAACTCAATTTTTATAACTACTTCTTAATATGCAGTTAGCTTTATAATGAAATAGGGCCCAAGGCAAGGAGGGAGTCAGGACTTGGCTGGGCAGCCTGGTTACATGGAGGTACAAATGACCTGTATTGCTACAACAAGTGACTGGCCAGCCCCTGAAGTGTGTCTGGTCAGAAAATGGGAAGTTCTGAAGGATCAAGAGGAACTACACATAGTCACTGCCCATTTCAGCCTCAGGAGGGCGGAGCATCGGGCACAGAAGAAGTGTTGTTGTTGTTTATCTGTAGCCATTGACTTTCCCTTTTGTGCCCCTGTGACAAAGAGCCAGGCTACTTCTTAAGTCCTCAACTGTAGCCCTGCCTCATAGTGAGTGAGGCAGAAGCCAAGGTGGCCAGTAACTCATCCATTGGAGACGTGCGTCTTTCATGCACACAGCAGGTGCCGTGCAGTTTCCTGCCTACAAGAGGCGTGGCTCTGCCACACTCCTGCAGTCTGCCTGTTTGTGACCATAGCTGCAGGAGTGCCACTTCTGGTCCCTCTTTTCTCCAACCTTGTTTGTCCTGGGGATGGAGAAGTCACTAATTTGTGAGTCTGCAGGGGAGACTTTGGGCTTTGGGCCTCTCTGCAGGGACAGTGGCCCTTCAACAGGGAGTAAGTGTAACTGTCATGCCTGCTCTTTCCTGACACTTGTCTTCCTAGTGCCCGAAGCCTGCTCAGTACTGTCAGGGAGTGAACGAGGAAAAAGGGCTATCCCATAGGCTTCTTCGAAAGGCCAACCAGTGCAGACACGTGTGATCTTGGCTATTTACTGCATCTCAAGAGACCCACATGTTCCTGTCTTTAAAGTGAGAAAAATATCTACTTCTGGTGTGATGGACTGGGATTGACAGATAATGCACAGAGAGCTTTAAGCACCTAAAAAGTGCATAGTAATAATGGTTTCTGTCGTTACTTAGCTTGGAAAGGGACTAAGTGTGAGCCTAGTTCTCCTCACAGCTGGGGCCTTGCTATTTGCAGACAGAACTAGGCCAGTCCAGCCCCACCCACTGACGGGAAAGCCCAGGGTTCCCAGAGAACCTCTCATTTTATGAACTTGGAAACTCCTTTCTCTCCTCTTTCCCTCACCTATTTATTTCTCAGTAAGGATGCAGGGGTGTGGGTGGCGAGGTGCCTTTTCCATCAGAGCTGGAATTTGCCTCTGCCCTCTCTTCTAAAGCGATGCAAAGGTAGCTGTTCATGTTGTCTTCTCAGAATGTCATGAGCTTCATAAAACTTTTCACACATAAAACCAAAGTTAAGCATTAACGCTTTGGACTGTGTGTGTGTGAAAGAACTCAAAATCACACTTCGTTAAGGAGAAGAAAGGCTTCGGAAAAAAATTTGTACGGTAAACATGTGCTAGTGCACTTCCAGGAAGCAATAGCAAAATGGACCATGTTGCTGATGGTGTCAGGAAACTCACACATGGTTTTGCGTTTCCCATACAGGATTTTGATGGCTATGGTGAAGTGGTGTATACCCAGTCTTTGAAAAACAGCTCATCCCCAAATCACTTTCATATTGAAATGTTCCACAAGGCTTTTCATGGCTTTTCTGTTGCATTGTGAAGTGGGGGTGTCTGTCCTAGAAGGTGTGGGACTTAGGGAGAGAATGAAGTTCAGAGAAACCCCACCAGGGGCTTGGCCATAGAATCCTGGTCATATTGCTCCACACAGGATCGGGTGCTCTTTCTCTTCCGGTATGTACTCTCTGTATTTCATCATTTCTGATGCTCTGTATAGCAGAGAATTTCTACAGAGAGGTTGCTATGCTATGGGTGTTGTATTTGATATAGGTTTTTTTTTTTTTTTTTTTTTTTTTTTTTACAAAACAAGGAAATCTGAAAGCTAATGCCATCAAGCTTGAATCCTGAAAGCATTCTTCAGTGTCAATAATGCATCCCCAGGACTCTCACCACAAGACATTTAAAGGACTTTTCTGGTTCCCTCTAGAAGATGGCTGTCACATCATATATTGTCACTGTGCAGTGTCCTTCCAAGCTGTGGTCACTGTGTTTGAGAAGGCAGGTTTCCTTAGCAATTGCTTAAAATACTGTTTGCATTTTTCATTTAGGTGGCTGTACTCCAATCCCAGAATCAGACCTAGAGGGAAGGTCGCTAGACGACTCCACAGAGCGTTTACCAACCACGAGCACCTCGTTGCTGAGCCCCCCGTGCCTGGTAAGGGAATCCAGAAGCAGTGACCCTGGTCTGCTTCTGTCCTGTTGGAGAACATTTTGCAAAACGACCTGTTTTCTAATGTCTAGGTCTTGGTAAGGGTGCCTGAACTGTTTCTCCATTTCTGTCAATATTCAAACCTGTTTCTTCTTCCCCTCTCTGTTTCTCCTTCCCAGAAGTCTCAGCCCTCCAAGGAGTTTTAGAATAGTCTGGAGTAATGCTGACGAGTTAGGAGGAAGATGCCCTCTCTGAGGCTGACCCTATGTGGACACTGTGCTCCCATCCTGGTGCTGCACCAAGCTCATCCCTGGAGGCAACTGCGTGAAGACGGAGGCAGGGCTGTTGGTTGCTAGGAGGGCTTGGGATGTCACAGACAAGTCAGCTGAAAGACAAGGTTTATCTTTTCTTCCCAGGAAAATGGTTGCTGCCTTTAGTCACATGTGCTTATAGTCAGGATTTAGCAAGGTGACAAAGTTTGGGGACAGACTTTAAAATACAGGGATCCAGATGTAAAATAATTTCATAGCCCATTTTTCACAGGATTCTTATGTAATATCTGTATCAAGTTTAATAAAGCACCATATTGTCAAACAATAACTTGGACTGAATTTATAACAAGGGTTGTGCATATAATTTTTCTCTATATTTTTTAAGAGAAACTGAAAAGTTTGCTACTCCATAGTAAGACTTGGATATGCTTATTTAATAAGGAAAAGAAGAGCTCAGAACTGTCACTGCATCTGTTCTATTAAGCTGAGGAAGAGGGTGATTTCCTAGTGGGAACAAACACACCAAGTGTACGTAAGGAAGCTGGTATGTGAACATCCTCTTTCAATCACCCTAGTGAGTGAAGCCTTTTACACATCCAGGTAATAAAGGGAATCATACTCTATTATTATTTAAATAGATATTTTATATATAAGGAATTATAGATAAGGAGTCCCAGAGGCTTTACCTACTTTAGGTTTTGCCTAAGTAAGGATTCAGATGTAATTAGTTAGATGTGCCTTTTGTTAGTTTCGGAACACCTTGTGTGATGTTTAAATATGCTTGGCCTGGGGAGTGGTACTATTAGGAGGTGTGGCCTAGTTAGAGTAGGTGTGGCCTTGTTGGAGTAGGTGTGTCACTATGGGTGTGGGCTTTAAGGCCCTCATCCTAGCTTCCTGGAAGCCACCTGCACCATGCCTGCCTGGATGATAATGGACTGAACCTTTGAACTTGTAAGCCAGCCTCAATTAAATGTTGTCCTTTGGTTTGAATGTTGTCCTAAGAGTTGCTTTGGTCATGGCATCTGTTTACAGAAGTAAAACTCTAAGACATCTCACAATCAAATCTAAAGGAAATGTGAATTACAATTTGTTTTTTGTAAACAAAAAATGTGTGAAGCATCAAGAAATGCAAACAATGCCTTATTTGTTATTTAAATTGTCCTTTTGTAGGAGACACAACAGAAAATGAAACAGCCTTAATTGTCTAGCACAGGAGGGGGCAGTTTCCAGTCTGTGGCTAAGTTTCATCTAGCATAGGCACTAGAACAAAGATGCTGAGGTGTCCAGTATGTCACAGCACTCTGGTCAACTGGAACACCTTTCTGGGAAGCTCACAAAAGAGTGTGTGAGTGGAAGGGGTGTGTGCGTGTGTGCGTGTGCATGTGCGTGTGCATGTGTGTGTGTGTTTTGAATCTTCCGTTCTCCCTCACTCTTTTCTACCTTTACAGATAATATCTCACATAGACCAAGCTGGCCTTAAACTCACAATCCTCTTGCCTCTGCACACTGGGCTCACCACTCCCAGCCTTGGAAATGAGTCTGTGCAGCACCATTTTTGACATTTAGTTCCCATTGCTGTCTCTGTACCACACATGTGACTGTGCTCGTTCCTTCTTGTCCAGTCTTTGTCTTTCCCAGCATACTTGCCTCCTGTCTTTTTGTTTGTTGTGAAAATGTATGGACACACATGTGCATATGTGGGTATGCATGCCTGTGTACATGTGTACAGTCTCATGTCCTCCTCTGTCACTGTCTGCCTTTGAAACTGGGTTTTCATTTTTTTGGCTAGATAGAAACCAGCAAGCCCCAATGATTCTACTGTCTCTGCTCCCTTATTGCTGGGGTTCAGTCCACATGTAGGGACACCTGAGGTCTGAACTGCAGTCCTCGTGACTGTGGAGGAAGGACTAACTGACAGAGCTGTCTCTTCAACCCCTATTAACGGGGTATTAACAGGGTCTTTCTAATTAGCATCCTTTAGCTCACTGTCTCTCTTTTGACTTTGTCCATTTTGCCTGGGCACTCTTTTCTCTGCATTCACCCAACTCTACTTCCCAAAGCCTACATCCTGTGATGGGTGTATGTGGAAGGGGACAGGATCCATTTTTGGTTTGTTTTGGATTTGGATTTGTGAGACAGATATTTAACTTTGTAACCTAAACTGGTCTGGAACTCACTCCAGTAAGATCTCAAACTCTTTATCCTTTTGTCTCTACAGCCTAAATGTTGGGATTGCAGGCTTGTACCACCACACATAGCTAGGAGCATGTTGTTTGATATGTGATGATTTTTTTCCCCATCAAATTCTTATCCCATTGTACAGGGAGGAGCTGATAACTGAAATCTGGTTCCCTAACTGTTTCTTGATCATGTCAATGAAGATGGCAGAAGCCAATCACTGGGCAAAGATAAAGAGGTGAGATTTTCTGGGTCCCAGGAGGAAGAAGAGAGAAAGAGATAGAGAAAGGACTTTTTGGCCAGGCTTTGGAGAGAGGAAGAGGAACCTTGTAAGGTCTGGGGCCAACTAGAACTAAAAGCAGCCTCTGCCACAGGAAGAGTTCTGATTTAGGATAGCTGATGAGTTTAGGACAATAGATTTGAAGGCCAGTGGTTGTATTATCTGGCTGGTTATAAAATATTAAGGCTGCCTGGTGTTTTCCATCCATGATGACTCAGGTGGGCAGAAGAAAGGGCACAGCTTTGGGGTGGTCATTAGCAGTTTGCGGAGCTAGCATGCAGGGTGCTTGGTTGCAATCACAGCTCCCAGGGATCAGAGAACCAGCTGGCCATTGGTGGAGCTATGTCAGGAGTAGGACCAGTGGCAGCATGTTCTCGGAGCTGACCTGAGACCTCAGTCTCTGAGGAGGTGACAGTGACACCTTCTAATGACAACACACAACATCCCAGCAATATCCCATTGTTCTTCCTTTAATGAAGTAAATTTATTAATTATTTGAGAATCTATGAAGTACATTTTAATCCTATTCACTCCCCACTGCAACTCCAACTCTGACCAAATCCACCCCATCTCCTTACATCTCCAGCTTTGCATTGCCCCTGCCTTTTAAAAATAACCAATCCAGTCCAAATTTTTCTGGTCATATACTCCTGAGGGTAGGGCTATCTACTAGATCATGGTTGATCTACCAGCGGCCACACCTTAAAGAAAACTGACTCTCTGTCTTTGAGAAGCCATCAACTATCAAGCTCCTCAGTTAGGGTTGTGGGCTTGGGAACCCCTTACTTCTCCAGACTAGAATGTTCACTGGCTTGCTCTTGTGCAAGTCCTGTACAGGCAACCATGACTGCTGTAAGGTTATGAGAGTAATGCTCCTGTCATGCTCAGAAGATGCTCTTTCTGGTTCTCTCTGAGCCCTGGCTTTTATAATCTTCCTCCTTCTCTGTGCTGGTTCCTGAATCCTAGGGATGACATCATCTAGATGTCCCATTTGTGGCCGAGTGCTCCGCTGACACTTACTGTCTGCACTTTGGCCAGTTGCAAGTTTCTGCATTAGTCACCATGTACCGCACAGAGCAACTTCTCTGAGGTCTGAATTCATCCATAAGTAGTAGAAATGGATTTAGATGGCAGTTTCATGCTATGTTCATTTATCAGAATAATAGTCATCTGTTCAGCCCTGGGGACTATGAACTTCCATCCATGGATTCTTGGCCAGATTTACAGTACTAGTTATGTGTTCCCTCCTATGAAGAGAGCTTTAAATTCAATCAGAAAGTGATAGTTTTCCCCATAGTCATTATTGTAGCTCACAGGGTACACTGCTGGGGAGGACTGTTGATCCTGATTTTGGTTGCCATTTCTAACTCATTGGTTCCTGCCTTGGTGTTCACTGTTCCTCTCCATCTACTGCTTTGGGGTCTATTTGTTTTTGTTTTCCTTTACCATAGAGTTCATCATCAGGTGGCTTCTTTAAGATCCCTGTGGTTTTTAAAATGCAGACGTTTAGAGCTATGAAGTTCATTCTTGGGACTTCCTTCCTCTGTATCCCACACAGGGCTGGACTTGTGTGTTTCAGTATCACTTAATTCCAGGGTATTTGTATTTCCTTCCTTCCTCACTAGAGAGTGCACTGTTTAACGTCCATGAGTTTGGATAGCTTCTTTTTCCTGTTGATTTCTCATTTTACTCCATTGTTGTTGGTTGGAATGCAGGTAGCTGTTTTTAAATTTTTCTATTTTTGCTTTGTGTCCTGATATGTAGTCTATCTTGGTTATGTGGGGCCCTGAGAAGACTGTGTGTTTTTGGTGTTTGGGTATTTGTAGATGTCTGTAAAGTTCATTGTACTTAATTCCAGTATTTATCCAGTTGTTTTGTGCAGGTGATGGTTGTATATTGAGGTTACCCAGTACTGTTCTGTTGGGAGTTAATCTGTGACTTAAAGCCTAGTAGTGTTTATTTTATAAACTTGGATGAGCCAATATTTGGCACATATATATCTTCTTGTTGGGGTGATCCCTTGATCAGTATTAAACAACCCTCTTTATCTCGTTTGACAAGAATTTATTTGAAGTATATTTTGTAAGGTATTAGGATAGCAATACCTGGTTATCTCCTGGTTCTGTTTGCTTGGAATACATTTTTTCCACTCTTTTACCCCAAGGTAGTGTTTAATCTTGGGCTTGGGCAGTACGGTGTGTTTCCTGAAGGCAGCAACAAGAAGGGTTCTGTTTTCTAATCCAGTCTGCTAGTCTGTATTTTTTTGGTAGGGAAATTGAGATCATTGATATTTGGAGTTATGATTGAAAGGTAAGTATCACTGCTTGTCATCATTCTTTTGAATTTGTGGTATATGGGAATTTCTTAGTCCTCTTTTGTTTAATGAGTATCGTAGTATCTTTTAGTTTTTCTACAGTAGTGCTTTGAGTTTGTTTATCTTTCTCTTCAGACTGGACTGTCCCTCTCTGGCATCCACTGTAG